TCTTCTTCTTCTTCTTCCTCTTCTTCTTTTTCTTCTTCTTCTTCTTTCTCTTCTTCCTCTTCTTCTTCCTCTTCTTCTTCCTCCTCTTCTTCTTCTTCTCCTTCTTCTTCTCCTTCTTCTTCTTCCTCCTCTCCTCCTCCTCCTCCTCCTCCTTCTTCTTCTAACCCCCCGGTGTTTGGTCTGTAGTTCTAACCCTGGTTCCTGGTCGTTGCCAGACTGACATCATCTGTTTCTCCTCCTGTTTACAGCTCTCTTCTCAGTGTGTACCTCTGTTCAGTGATGGAGCGTTTGTTCATTTCACCTTTGAGACCTTCACGTGTTTGTGGAGATGATGATGTAATCAGTCTCTAAACAACATCGGTGCGAAGCAGCTCTGGCTGCAACGACAAACTCTGTCACAACCAGATGAAAACACGAGAAAATGATTTAGCAAAAAAAAAAAAAAAAAAGCTGGAAACGGTTCCACTGGCACGAGGACGAGCAGAGACGGAGGAACCTTCAAGAACAAGATGAGAAAGAACACGCACCTTCTTCACGGCCTGACAGACTGTTGGTGGAACACGGTCATGACATCATGTTGAGGGACTCAACCCTGAGGTTAGGGTTAGATTTCCTCTGACGCTGAACAGTAACTGAAACCAGTGCTGAACATGAGGAACGTTCGAACATCGGAGAATCAAAAAACACGTAATGTGGGAACAGAACAAAAAAATGTAAAAAAAAAAGGTTAAAAAATAAAAAATGAAAAAACAAACTTGATTTAAAAAAAAACAAATAATAAAATTAGAATTGAGGCTAAGGTTTGTTTGGAAATTAAAATGTCTTTTTGAGAACGTTTTTAGAAACTTATTTTTATAAAGTTTTCTGTAAAAAGGTGAATTTTTGGTGTTGTTCTAGGTCAAAAACACAAAAGAGTTTGACAAAGATTTGTCCAGAATTATTTTTCAGAATTTTATCTTTACTTGTATGTATCACATAAAATTAGAGCATTTAGAGAATATTTTTGGAAAATTAGTTTTTATAAAATGTTCTGTCAAAAAAGCAATTTTTACAGTAATGCACGGCTCCCCCAACGGTTCTCCAATTACAAGCCCAGTTTATTAACTGCCAGCTCATGGGCTGTACCAAGTCTACGATCAAGCGAGTTATCTGGTAAAAGATGAGACACGTTTAAAAGGGTTAATCATTTTATTTATAGTTTTATTTTTACAAGGCTTGGTCTACAGGAAAGATCGAGTCGTTTTTGCACAGTCCCGTGTCCACAGATGTTTTTGCTGTAGTAATAATGTATTTTTGTAAACTAAATCCCACAGCACAACCAGACTTGCCTCTCGGCACATCAGTGTGCAGTCACACATCATGTGGGAATCGCTGCAGCAGGCTGCCTGGCTGTAATAAACACGTTGATTCTAATCAATTATGACAGAAATTTTTGCTAAAATTATTTTTCAAAATTGTATCTTTTTTTGTATGTTCCTCATAAAATTAGGGCATTTAGAGAACATTTTTGGAAATTAATTAAAAAAAAAGGTTCTGTCAAAATCTCCTCACTGTGACACACAGCTGCCCCCCAGAGGGGCCCGGCCCCCCACCTTGAGAATCACTGCTGTAACGTAAGAACACGATCTGCCCTCGCTGATTTTCCCACTACTCTGTAAACTATTATGTTGACATGAGGACATGTTGACAGGAGGACATGTTGACAGGAGGACAGGAGTACATGAGTACATGAGGTCAGGAGGACATGAGGACATGTTGACATGAGGACATGAGGACATGTTGACATGAGGACAGGAGGACATGAGGACAGGAGGATAGGAGGACATGAGGACAGGAGGATAGGAGGACATGAGGACAGGAGGACATGAGGACAGGAGGATAGGAGGACATGAGGACAGGAGGATAGGAGGACATGAGGACAGGAGGACATGAGGACAGGAGGATAGGAGGACATGAGGACAGGAGGATAGGAGGACATGAGGACAGGAGGACATGAGGACAGGAGGATAGGAGGACATGAGGACAGGAGGATAGGAGGACATGAGGACAGGAGGATAGGAGGACATGAGGACAGGAGGACATGAGGACAGGAGGACATGAGGACAGGAGGACATGAGGACAGGAGGACATGAGGACAGGAGGACATGAGGACAGGAGGACATGAGGACAGGAGGACATGAGGACAGGAGTACATGAGGACATGAGTACATGAGTACATGAGGACATGAGTACACGAGGACATGAGGACATGTTGACAGGAGGACATGAGGACAGGAGTACATGAGGACATGAGGACATGAGTACATGAGGACATATTGACATGAGGACATGAGTACACGAGGACATGTTGACAGGAGGACATGAGGACAGACATGAGGACAGGAGGACAGCACGAGGACATGTTGACAGGAGGACATGAGGACAGGATGACATGAGTACATGAGGACATGTTGACATGAGGACATGAGGACATGATGTGTGGTCCACGTGGTACGGTCCACTCCCGGTGATGCGGCCCACTGTGCAACGTCCACATTTTCAGTTCAATAAAAAAAAACGTAAACAAAGCGCTGACGGAGCAGACGATGACATCATCACACTCACAGTTCTAACCACAGAACTTCTATCCAATCTGGGAGCCAGAACCTGCTTCCTGCCCGTCCCCCTGGGGGCCGTTTGTAGAACAGCAACTGTATCAAATGATGATGTTTTAATGCTACGAACTGAAAAAGTAAAAGAACAACAACCGACTCCAGGAAAAAGGAGGGGGAGG